ATGAAGAGATGGATGCGCTGGGCATGATTGAGAGGCAGATATCATCTGTGCCTTGGGTAGTGAATGGTGATACATAAAGGCGGAGAGATGGGCTGCTTTGTCGACCGAGAATGCATTGGGTCAAACGTGAACGTATAACAGTGCTTTTTCCTTTAGAGCATCACGAGCATCCCAATTTATAAAAGAGAAAAACAATCATGACCTATTCCCCAACAGTGAGTCGTACAATACATCAGACGCAGGGAGGGGACATGGCAATGTTGGCATTTGTCGTGTCAATCGTGCAGAGTTGCCGCCCCACACCATCTTCATTCACGATAGTCCCTCCAACTATTTGTGCGGGCATCTGCGCTTCCCACGCGGGGCCGCCCGTACAGCGTCCAAATGTCACCAAGTGCGGAGCCTAGTAACACGACGAAGAACTTGAGGGGCAGAACAACGTCCTGCATCAGACGCCTGCCTCTCCTCCCCCTCTCTGCCTCTCTCTCTCTCTCTCTTTTTTTCATTTGGGGTGATTATTGCCTTGAGTTTCGTTTCGTTTCGTTTCATTGCGAACCCCTTCAACCTCTTCACTAGATAGACATCTCTGTGCTGCGATACACGCCCATCGGCCGCACTTGCACTCACTCGGCGCAAGAAAAAGTACCAGACCCCTCCTCTCGCACCCAACCACTCCCAAAGTGACCATCACTCACATCCTCATCGTCAACCCCCAGGGCCCGCCAACAATGGCCGCCAAAGACGCCATCACCTGCCACGTCCTCGACACCGCGGCCGGCCGGCCCGCCAAGTCGATCCGCGTGCGTCTCGAGGGCCCCCGCGGCTCGCAGCCCGCAAAGGAGTTCGAGTCCATCACCGACGACGACGGCCGCATCAAGGTCTGGCTCCCGTACAGCTCGGCCACCGCCTCGGGCGAGGTCCCCGTCTACACGCTCGACGACGTCCTCGGCCAGGCGGAGGCGTCGTCGACCTGGACGCTGCGCTTCGACATCGAGGGGTACTACGGCGAGGGCAAGACCTTCTTCCCCGAGGCCGTCGTCGTGTTTCGCGTCCAGAAGGGTCAGCACTACCATGTGCCGCTGTTGTTGAGCCCCTACAGCTACACGACGTACCGGGGGAGCTAGGCTAGGCCCGGCCCAACCTTGACATCAAGAGTTCCTCACTGCATAGTCATAGATTCGACACGTGGAAAGGTGGTTACAGTGGTGAAATTAAAACAGCCCATCGTGCGCATTTCATCATGACGTGGTCGTGGCAATGGTGCTTTCTGCGTTTCCAAAGCTGATCCGTCCCGAAATGTGTCTCCCCCGTCTTGATAATCCAATGTATCTCTCATCCCTCTGTCCTAGCCGGACTCTCGGGCACCCGGTTTTGTGTACGCCCAGCAAACACACGCTTTCTCAGCCACAAAAAAAAAATGTTGAAAAAAGTACCAGTAAAACTCCCTCGCTAAAGTATTCATATTGGCAGGCCGCCATAACCTCGTAAAAACGCTAAATACATGGCGCGAATCTTAACAATGTATCGCTTTGTTGACTTTCCACCAAGGCTTCAAGATCGCTTGAATCGGCTGAATAGTCCAGACTTTCGGCGGTGTTCTGCCACATCCGGTGAGGTCGGCGGTGTATCGTCATCTTTCTTAGAACTGGAGCGCATGCTCTCGCCTCCATCCTTTGAAAGTCGTAGACTGGTTGTCGACGTGCTCCTCAATTGATTGTTATTCTTTCCGTCAAAGTCTAGCATCGAAAGAGACACAATGCTGCTCAAGGCTTCAGATTGAGGATTAATGACGCCATAAGAAACCGTTCGCTTGTGCTTCTTCAAAAAAGAGAGCCTGTGCCTCTTGATCATTCGCTCCTCGCAGACGTCTTCGTACGAAAGCATTGCGTTTGGCGAGAGGTCCGCATCGGGATGAGGCAGCGTAGTGTTTGGGCCTAAGTAGCCAAGAATTAGCACATTGATCACGAGGTCTCATCTTGCTGGGAATCACCACTTACCACTATGAAAAGGTTCCGGAAATCCTGTGTCTCTGGGTATGCGCTTGGGCTTTTTAACACGCGGAGGAGACATGACTTCGATCTGTGGGATGGACGAAGTCTCAGTATTGATCCTTTGGAGAGTATTTTGTCGTTCAGACATGGTAAGTGTTTATGTATTTGTGCTCCTGGAAGACATATGTGGTCGGGTGAGATTTGGTGGCCGAGGCTACTATGATGGCATAAGAGGTCGATTTATAACAGTTCGGGGCGTCACAAGTTCAGTGTTGATGACAAACAAGGGAATCTGCGGTCTTTGAGGTGCTGAGTGAAAGTCAAAAATGAAAGAAGTTCAGTGGCTGTTTGTTGGAAAGGAGCTATTGTCTGCTTGCAAATAGTAGTGTGAATATTCATTTGCAGAATCGTACCCCTACAGACATAGACTTTGATGGCGCTGGCCTTGAACAGAGTGGCAGGGTGCCTAGGTGAGTAGTGACACAGCCGGTCATGCGGTAGCGAGATGAGCCGTCGATAACAGGTATGAAGATTGGCGCCGTCGAAACCGCCAGGGATAGGAACTTGCAAGAAAAGAGAAATGAGTGGTGGATTCCGCTTGAAACAGGCTTGGTGCCAAACGATTCCACAGTTCTTGTTCACGAGCAGCCCGGAATATGTTGTTCTTATGTCTGGATGGGTGCCTAGTAGCTATGCAGTAATGACAGGCTGCCAGAATTTGGATGTGCCGCTTGGCATTGTTCCTGTTCATAAAGCGGAATTGCTTTCGCCGTCTGGTGTGCTCGGATTTCGTCCGGGCGGATCGACCACTAGCAACTAGGTCTGCCTTGTACATAAAGAACCAATGGCCACGACAAACCGGACGACGTGCATTTCAGTACAGAGTCCTCCGTACCGAGTACAGCTGGCCAAGGTTCTTGCTGCGACAAGACGTAGGATTACTGAGCGACAAAGCTGCGTGTCGAGCGTGTCTGTGCTGGCCTGGGCAGGCTGCGCCTCACTGTCTCACTAGGGGGGTGACGACAAGGTGGATGAGAAACAAACAGGGCACACTGCAAATACAGAGGCGCTGAACAAGCTCACCCGCCAAGGCCTTTGGGGAGAACTCAACAAATGGTCTCTCCCGTGTGACGACGGCTCCGCCGCTAACCAAGAGGTATGTCGGTGTGGTGAGACTCAGTAATCAGAGACTGCCGTCAATGCCCGTTGTTGCTGGGGGCACGGCAGCGAAATGATCCGAATTTCGAGACGGGATAAACATAAGGCATAGAGCACGGAGCACAGGGGGTACCCCGTGAGAAAGAGTTGAGCTCTGGAACGGCGCGGATCAGGGCAGCTGATAATCCGTCACTGGGCCTAATGGTGCTCTCGTCTCGCTGAGTTTCCGCTATTCGGAATCAGCGATAGGGGGAGACCCTTACGGAACAAGGAAACTCATTGGCCAAGTCGGCTCAAACGGCAAAAGCTGTGGGCAGACGGAAGCAAGGCAAAAAGAGCTCCAACGATGCGAGCCACAGAATTGAGCACAAATCCCTTGACGTCAAACGGAAGGCGCTGCGCCTCGCAGTGGTAAGAAGGTACCAGGAACAAGTCGATAGCCGTAGGAAAGCCACCAAATCCGTTCGGCCAGGGCTTGGAGATTTCGTGGGGAGCTTTCGAAACTCTTTATACTGTACGGAGTATGTATCTCGAAGTCCGACCAGAGGAGATGTCTGCCCTTGGCAAAAGCACCAATGGCCAGATCAGAATCTGTTGGGCCAAATCGCATCATTTGACCTGCCAATGCAATGGTCAACAAAGCATGTTCTGCATGGACTACCATCCCGCTGTCACATTCAACCATTGCCAGTTCTGGGGAAGCGTGGATCCATGGCCAAGTACGGACTCCAGAGTACGACCAACCCAGTCCACATTTAGCGCTTCTTGTTCTTGAGTACTTAATGGGCCCAGTGGCGTCTCCAAGTTAGCTGGAGTGTCGCAAAGCAGCTGCGTCAGAGACACCAGCAGAGAGAGAGGACGACCAGAGAGGGATGCAGATCCATGCTGAACGACTGCTTTCCCTCATGAGAATCCAGTAGAAATCGGCAGGGTGGCAAGCCACGATCGGTGAGATTGGCATGGAGAAGATATGAATGCATGGAGGATCGGTGTGATCTATAGATGACCAGTGCCTCGGCTCTCGCTCTCGGGCTCTCTTTCTCATCGGATGGTCTTTGCTGATGGACTTCAGAAATCACTCATAAGCACATGGCAACTTGTGGCGATCTGGGGCACCAGTGACTTTCGGAAGGCTCTGGACTCGATGTTGACTCACAATTGTAACACGTCAGAAACTACCCACCATATGGCAACTATGACCACTTTAGTCGCCGAGACTTGAGTGTTTCGCTTTGGAGAGTAGAAGTGAGAGATGAGATATCAGATGCATGACAGCCCATGGCTAACCTGAGCACAGTCGGGAAGGAACTACAGCGTCGCCCCTGCCAAGATCCGATATAAACATGAAAGATGTCGTCAATCCTTTATCGGGGGGCACCAAGGAACAGAAGAAAAGCATGCGGGATGCGAGTGCCTCGGTACTAGCAAATGCCAAGTATATTGTATAATGTTTCAAGCAAGTTTTCTTATGCTGTGAATGGCTGTTCTCGGGAGTCGGATGTGACGCTGACAGTTGACAGCTGTTTGGCATTGGTGCTTCCATGTTCGCACCTGTCCTTTGCCTGCTACCCTGTGGCGCCTGTGTGGCTTAAAGGCCCTGTGCGGAGTATTTTTGGCTCCTGTTCAGCGATGCACAAAACTGCACAGCCGCACAGCCACGCGTCTCGCATTCTGGCGTGGGCGTTGCACCAGCCACAGTCTCTCGCTGTGCTCCAAGTCGAGACAACAACCCCTTGGAACAGCATCTCACGTCACATTCAATCATCCTGCCATAGCAGGCAAACCATCTTTTTTACCCAGGTCGGCCACGAATATTCGCATCGCGCGTCTCTATAGTCGACTTTTCCCGCCATGTCCGACACTCCGCGAGGCGTCGAGCATACAGACTCGATAGACTCCCACGACTCTGCCCCGAAGCAGCCGGAGAAGACAAAGAGTCGCAGACCTCCCAGTGAGTGCCGCCGTCCTGCGTTTGACCACGTGCCTGAGATCTGCCATCGATGGCAAATACAGTCTATGAGGACGGGGAATTAACGACGTGACACTAGACACCGCATTCCGACAGCAGCGCTTGAAAGCATGGCAGTATGCGCTTCCATGGTGCCTTACCTGCTGAATCAAGAGTGTACGGCTGACCACGATGCGATAGACCAATTTTGACACCTAAGACGGTGCTGCCATTGTTTTTCACTATAGGCATCATCTTTGCCCCTATCGGCGGCCTCCTTCTCTACGCCAGTTCGCTGGTACTTTGCCCTGTTCACCGTCTTGTGCTTTCTTATCATGGTCTAACTCCCTTGGCCCCAACAGGTACGAGAGATTAAACTCGACTACACGCACTGCATAAACGATGCGCCCGATTTTACCACCTTTGCAGATATGCCTGGCAGTGCTGTGGAATCCGCTTTCAAGAACGCCAACAGTAGCGTTCGCGCGCAGTGGGCGAGAAAGAAAGATGTAAACGTCACCCTTCATAATGGTAGAGAGATCAAGGGCAACCAGTGTGTTCTCCAATTCACCATTCCTGAAGACATGGGCGCACCTGTCCTATTCTACTATCAACTCACCAACTTCTATCAAAATCACCGTCGCTACGCCGAATCCTGCGATCTTCAGCAACTCAAAGGCGACGCACGCTCGTACAGCGACATCACCGGATCAAAATGTACCCCGTTATATGGAATCAAGCCAAATGACACGGGCAAGCCATACTACCCTTGTGGTCTCATTGCCAACTCCATGTTCAACGATAGCTTCTCCTCGCCGGCTTGGCAAAACCCTCCGAATGACGGCAAGGCCCGCACATATAACATGACGGACAAAGGCATTGCTTGGGATAGCGACAAGGATCTCTACGGCCCAACCAAGTACAAGGCCTCTGATATTGTGCCCCCTCCCAATTGGGCCATAGCCTATCCCGATGGCTACACCACTGACGGCATGTATCGACCACCAGACTTGCAGAATTGGGAGGCTTTCCAGGTCTGGATGCGCACGGCCGGTCTGCCTACCTTTAGCAAATTGGCCATGCGGAATGACCAGGACACAATGGTATCCGGTATCTACCAAATCACTGTCGATGATCGTATGCCATGCCCAATCTACTGCCGGAGTTAATCGGCGCCATTACCTGCTGCTAACATTACTCGCAGACTTCCCCACGATCGAGTACAAGGGCACCAAGTCCATACTCCTCACCACCCGTACCGTCATGGGCGGCCGCAACAACTTCCTGGGAATCGCATACATTACCGTCGGCGGAGTGTGCATTATCCTCGGTGCCATCTTCACGGCCACACACCTCCTCAAGCCAAGGTTAGTCAACGCCCTCACTTGAACTGCTCTGCCCCGTTCTTCTTACCTCTATGAATCACAATCTAACCAGGTGCATTTCAGAAAACTCGGCGACCACACTCACTTGACCTGGAACAAGGTCCCGGCGTCCAAGCCCTCCGGCCCCAGCACAGCTATGGCCAGCGGCCGTGAAATCCGCCCCGGCGATGCCTAGACGGATCTCCATGGCGTGCACCCATCTACCACCTATTCCAGCACAAGCGTCCTTTTCTTCTGTCCTAGCTGGCCCCCTGGCGCACCAGTATGGCATTAAGAGTTGACGACGTGCCAGCAGGCTAGGGGGTCCGTCTTCTTTCCCCCCAAGCTTTGCTTGTACCACATCCAAAACAAACAATTGTATGCATAGCTTTATACCAAAGCAGCAGGCATGTCAGCTTAGGGCAGCATGATATGAGTTGATTCACCGATTTTGGTTACGCTCCCCTGCACTCACTCTCCTTATCGAACCCATCGCAAGGGGAAACACAAAAAAAAACTTATCTGAACGTTGGGCAGGTGGGAGGACTGGTGTGCTTTGCGGTACTGCCTCGTTTTTTATTTTTTTTATTTTTTTGAAAGTCCTTGGCGGATAGTTATCGAGGCAACAAGGGCGTTTGGGATCTGGGTTTTCTTTTAGTGATGTGGGATATGCAATAGATTAAGAATGACACTCGAATGCGTTGTGCAAGTGACATTACCAAAGGTGCACTGCAGCCAAGCAGTTAGAACCTCGAACACATGAAGTAGAAGTGTCTTTCATGTGTCACCACGCAGACCGCAAGTGAGACGGCGAGGCATTCATGGACGGGGGAGTAGTTGTTACTGGTTTAAGACGACTTGGCAGAATATCAAGTTGGTCAGGCAAGTAAAACCCATTATTCTTTTGCCATTTACCAGCCTGCTACATATCTTGTACAAAATATTAATATCACAATCTCCCAGATCTACATGGCCCAACTAGCGCTTCCTCTTCTGCTTCTTCCCACTCCGGTCATCATCATCCAGACCGCCCTCCCTGTCTCTCTTCTTAGCCTTCTTCTCAAGCTCGTCCCAGTCCTCACCCTCTTCCTCACTATCCAGTTCGGCGTCGTCGTCATCATCGTCGTCACTAGCGTTACTGCCAAAATCAGACCCCTCCTCGCTAGACTCGGATACTTCATCCATCTCGTCATCGTCAATCTCAAAGGCTGACTCCTCCTCAGACTCCTCTTCCTGCTCATCGTCCGAATTCTCTTGCAGGAACCCCCAACCGCCGTCGGCAAAGAACTGATGCGTGTCGGCAGTAACGGTCTTCATGATCGTGGGCCAGTTCAGATTGAGTGGACCTTCGCTGTAGGCAATGTCTGATGAGTCTAGGAATTCCTTGACCTGGTCGAGGAATTCTACGGGGATAGTATTGATGTGGAATGGTGCGCGGGTAAAGTCTTTGAATACAAAAACCATGTCAAAGTTCTTGAGGCCGAATTGCACACGCTCGAGATGGGCAATTTCAACATCTTCAATGGTGACAACCATGAACGGAGGCTCAACAACCTGCATGAGACAGTCCGTGGTTGGCTGAATAAAGACGTTGCTTCGGTAGGGCACGCCATTGAAACCGAGTTCGCGAATTGGCATATCGACTTCGATGTTTTCGTTACGGCCAGCCTCTGCAATCTTCTGCGCAAAACCTTGGAAGAGTCTGTCCAAATCGGCCCGACGCCGTCTTTCCTCTTGCTCAGCCTCGAACTCATCTTCGTCTCCATAGCGGTACTTTCGCTTTCTGTTGCCAGTTTCATCGAATTGAATATCAGTGGCTTCACGATAAAATTGAACATCCTTGGTCTTCTTCTTGTTGCCGACGATGATGGGGTCTTTCAGGTGAATGTGGATGATGACAATGAGCTCATGTGCACAAGGTTGGAAAAATAAATGACGGACGTTGGAGAAAAGAACATCGACGCGATGCTGAGCGTTGAGCGGTGACTGGTATCGAATACCATTCTGGTGTATTTCGACTTTCCCAGGCACTCGTTTGCCCTCCATGGCCGGACGAATATAGACATTATCTAATACAGCAGGCCTTCGGTCTGAAAAAAAAAAAAGCGGTTAGTATGCTCAGCGAAACTAGATTCAAGCCGGTCTATTGCATCCACTTACTTCTGATTTCAATCAGCTTGTCTTGCTCAATCACATCTTCCATATCCTTCTTTTCTTGCTCTTTCTTGACCGCATCTCGCTTCATGTTTGAGATCTGAGTAGCTATCTCACTATATCTCTCCCCGTCAGACGATCTGAAAGTCAGACTGCGCACAAAGTGTGCGGAGGCGTCCTCGAAGGGCTGGTCATCCTTTCTACCTACGCCCTGTCCAGGCGACAGGAAGTTGATTCGTAGGAATGAAAAGTCGTTTTCGTCGCTCTTGCTAGCGTTCTTGATTGTGTTGATGTGGAATGGCACGGGTCGGCCCATGATGGGAAGAATGACAGTGCTGTTCCTCGAGTCCACTACGACTTCCAGGTTCTTGACTTTGAGTGGGAACTGATTGTCTCGTTTATACGATTCAAATCGCTTAAACTTTTTGACTTCAGCTCCGTTCTTGTCGCCAGTTGCCTCGGCAAACCTGGCGAGACCTTCCTTCTGCTTCTTGGCCGCCAGCTCCTTTTGGTGCTCTTTTCTTTTGTTTTCGGCATCTTCGTCGACCTGCGTTGTTCTCTCGGACCGTAGTCTAGTACTGGTGATGTTTTTAGTGGCAACAGCACCAACCTTGTGGTCCTTCTTCTCCTTCCGAGGGGCGGGCTCGACTTCTTCGTCATCCTTGAAAAAGAACGAATTGGCATCGGCACTCGTGGGAGATTCAGCAGTGAACACCACAGGCTCCCCGGTAGTGACGCGGATAGTATCAGTCAATACCAAGGAATAGACCTTGCTATGCTTGTCTTGGGGCTGTGGGTTATCAATGTCCTGGAATCCAGTATGGATGATGAGAGTCATTCCGTCCTTGAGTATTCTGTTGTTCTTAGCGTTGAGGACGAGGGTTGGGTCTCGGTTTTCCAGTCCAACACCCCAGCCAACATTCTTGAGAAAATGCTTCTCCATCTCTGGCTTTTTGATCTTGAGCAAGCTCAGTGCCTTGTTGTAGACGTCCTTGGCTGACATTCCGTCTCTGACGTCCTTGATGATGGAATTGTGAACCATATGGAGAAGCTTGTAATTGCTTTCCTGCGCCTTGTTGGGATCAACAAGGTAAGTCCTTGCAATCGTCGAACAGTATGACTTGTACCTGAGGCCCAAACCAGCAATTATGATGCCAGCATGCAGATTGTCATTGTTGGCTTCGGCGGCAAAGCGAAGATCATACTTGCCACCACTCTGAATAGCGGGCCCCAAGATCCAGTCCAGTTGGGCCGAGTCGAAATCAGAGGGTAGCTTGCCCTTGTTGGGCAACTCAACCGTCTTCCAGAATTTGTCATCATCTAGCTTTCTATCAACCTTCTCTGCCAAGGAAGCGTGCGTGACCTTCTTTTCGCTGTCGAGAATATTGGACATTTCGTCGAGGAAGTAGGGCGTCATCAAGGCAACGCAAGCCTTGGAGGCGGTTCGCATAGCGCGGAGCTCGTTCTCGTCCTTGACGGAGAAGGCGTGGGTAGACAGCGCAGCTGAAATATCGACCTCCTCCACGTCCTTGCACTGCTCCGAGAAGACCTTTTTCCACTCATCGACGAAGGGTCCCTTGGACGTGTCTTTGGCGATGGTACCGACCTTGTCCTTGAATCACAGTCGCGTTAGCTAACATTGATCAAGACGAGAGTCAATCAAAAATCTGTCTTACTCCGGCCGCCTTGATCTTCTCTGCAATGGTGACAAATAACTTCTCGTTTTCCTCGGCGTTCTTGCCGCGAACAAGCACCTCGATGGGGAATCGACCGCCTTTTAGCTGATCCAAATGTTTGGCTAATAAATGTCAGATGTGGACAACTCGAGTGTGATTTGCAACGCGACCACGCGTACCTTTCTTAGCCGTCGTAAGGATGTACAGCGTGTCCACAGTGAGCAGCATCAAGGTCGTGGGGAACTCGTAGCCAAGCAACCAAAACTGGAGCGCAGGAAAAAAAAAGAGGAATCTCGTCAGCATCACGGATTCAACCACAATGTGCGCGCGTGCTGCGCAATGGGACCCAGGGCCCAACTTACATGCATGGCGTTATTCTTATGGAATTCGGGAATCTCCTCCATCTTGCCCATCATGATGAGAATGGAGGCAGCTCCACCAAAGAGGCCGTCCTTGGCTCTCAGGTCATTTTTCCAGGCGGTCGCAAAATGTGAGATGCGCTCTTGGAAGAGCTTGCCGTCAATCTTGATATCCGCCATGGTGATTGATGGCCAACCGAGCGGGCTGCAAGACGGACTGACGAAAGGGAAAAGAAAAAGAATAGAAAGAAGTCCGACAAGGGAAATGTGCCGGACGGAGGCGGGAGTATGATTGCCTGGCTGGCTGACGCGCGAGAAAAGCAGTTGGCGTCGCGTTAATGGGGTGAAGGAGCTGGGTGGTCACGTGACTAGAGTCCACGCGTAGCTCGCCTGAGCTGTTGAAGCACCAGCAGCTGCCCGCTAGGGAGCTGAAGGTACGGGGCTTAAAAAGTTGAATGTGGCTTAAACATTGAATCTAGATTTTTAGCCTTGGAGAGCTACAACTTGGCTATTGATTTCCGTGATGGTCTGGGCTACTGACCTTGGCTGTGGACGTGGCTGTGTTTGTAGTGTGTGGTTAATTGAGCGAAGTTGTGACCGACTTGTTTCATTCGTACCAAACCCTATTGTACATTGCGTCGCGATTGTGCTGACATCTGGACATTCACGATGGTCTTGATGAGGCTAGCCCTTGACGAGTATTTATATAAGACAATCAAAGATCTTGGATTTATAAACGTACAAAAAACATTATATTAGCCCAAATAAGTTATGTCAAAGTAAAATAAGTTAAATTTAAACGATTTAGCACTGGTTAGTGATTATGTTTTGCTAGTAATTCGGCGCCTTCCTGTTTGGCGGGCTTTCACCAACGTCAACCAGATCAAGTGGATTGGCACCGGTCCCGACCACATGGCCACAAGCAAGCGCGCTTAAGTGTCGCCTCGTGCAGCACAGATGACGGATGGGGGAAACGACATGATAAAGCGAAATTATTCCGGAGACCGTACATCATAATGTTGCCCGCTGGTGATGAGGTATTATGTCCAGCGGCACCAGACGTCTCCGCTACTTCTCCGCTAGTTTGAGCACTCGGCGACAGGCCGACAGCACGGCTCTGCGGGCCACGACATGGACGCTTCCGACCCCGCTGTGTTTCCGGCTCCTAGACCGGCTCCTGCGCCCTCGCATCCGACGGGCCATTCCCGTTCCCGTTGCCGGAAACGAAAACCATCGACGCTCCGCTGCAACCTTCATTAACCACCGAATAGCCACCAGCCCTTCCATCTCATGCCCTCAACTCACGCCCACACCCGCCCCTCTGTCGAGAAATCCATCCACTGCCCAAAAGTCTCATCTGCCCGGAACAAACCACCATGAGAATCCCCTACGTGCCCGACCCGCCTCAGCCCTCCACGGCCGAGGAGACGCAAATCGTGCAGCGCATCCAAGCCCGGCGCGCGCCGCGGCCCCTTCAACCGCTCGACCTGGCCCTCCTGCACTCGCCCCCCCTCGCCGACGGCTGGAACTCCTTCCTGGGCGCGGTCCGCACGCAGACCTCGCTGGGCGACGACCTCCGCGAACTCGCCATCTCCCGCGTGGCAGTGTGCAACGGCGCGTGGTACGAGTGGAAGCACCACGCCCCGCTGGCCGCGGAGGCCGGCGTCAGCAAGGAGGCCCTCGACGCGGTCAAGACCGAGGGGCCGCTGGGGCGACTATCGCGGCCGGACGTCTTGACCGAGCGGCAGTGGGCTGTCTTGGTGTACACGGACGAGATGACCCGGAACGTGCACGTCAGGGACGAGACGTTTGGCATGTTGAAGGCACTATTTAGTGACAGGGAAGTTGTCGAGATTACGGGAACAGTAAGCTCGAGGGTTTTCTTTACATGAACTCCCTATTTTTGGGGACAGCAGCCCGCCGGCTAACATTCACGTCACAGGTTGCCGCATACAACTGTGTAAGTCGATTTCTCGTGGCGCTCGACGGTAAGTCAATATAAAGACCAACTCAATTCTCGTCAATCTACCCGTCTCTAACTATTCAAAAAAAAAGTCGGGGAGAGAAACGGCACCGGTCCAGACGACGTGATGACCCATTAACCGATAAAACTGCTTTTATCAAACCAGTGACCATCCCCGTGCACAATGTCATGCACCGGCCGTTGTGTGTATTAGAAGAGAAGCGTAGCGGGTTGGCGAGGCGTGTGGAATGACAACTGGGAAGAGACGAAAAGTCGCGAGCAGTAGTGACGAGGTGAAAAGTGCGCAAGAGAAAATTAATAAAATGCCAACAATGGCGTGTCGGAGAAGTGAAACTGGGGGTATCCTATCTAAATGACCTAATGGGCCAGAAAAGGAAAAAAAAAAGAGAACAGGGCAGCGAGCCACAAAACTCCACACCACAAGAACCAGGATTTAAGAGCCGCAAGTACTCCGTATAATAGTAGGCCAAAAAACAAAAAAAGAACAGCAGCACACCCGTGGTGATATGGTGATGCAACGCCAGTTTCTTCATACAATACTGTTTCATGAACATGTCTCTTTTGCTTGTCCGTGATATGTCGTAATAGTCGTGGATGGATCTGTCTGTATGTGTGCTGCCCAAAGTGCCTGACAATGCTGTTTTATCCTTGCCGCCGTAGGACTGCTTGTAGCGAATACTTTCATCTCTGGTTTCGTTGTATGACTTGGTAGCCCTGCATGGCAGCCCATATGCGTGACACTGCTGCATAGGGCACCAAGGCATCAATACCGCGATAACAAAGGGAAAAAAAAAACAAGGCACCAAATGGTCGGTCTGTCCGCTACGGGGTCGGTTGTGCCATGGCGAGCTCTATCGAAGCATGTCGTTGCTGCATCCGCGGTGAGGTCTGGAGCTCTTCGACGACACCTGCCCACCCCTTCCTATGTGGTGTAATGACATTTTCCTGGTGGCCGATAGCCTGGGTGGTGAGACGTCTCAAAGGCGGGCGCTTCACCACGGTCTCAGTAAGTGACTTCTTTAGCGAGGGCTTCGTGGGGCTCGAAAAGGACATGATCTTCTCGGGGTCCCGAGGCAGCGGGGGTGGAGGGGGAGGGTTCCGGTCGACCACAGATGTCATGATGCCCATGTAGACGACGAGAAAGCGCATCCTCAACAGATCCAGGCGGCGCACCCTGTCCTCGAGCTGAGCTCGCTTTGCGCCCCAGAGCAGCCTCGTGCTCGTCCTGAGGGTTGTCGCGCCATCGGAAACCACCAGGCTGTTGAGCTGCTCGCGCAAGTCGTCGCCGCCCTTTTGTATCTCGCGGAGCAGCTGGCCGAGGCGAATCTTGTCCTCGAGTCGCTGGACCTTGGCCACGTCCCGGTCATAGCTCTCGTTTTCTTGTATGGAAAAATCGACCGTGTCAATAAAGGTGACGATTTCCTGGGGCGCGGCAAGGTAGGCTGCCCAGTAGGTGGCGACAACCTGGGCAACGACGACGAGTGACAGGAAAAGGGCGGTCAGGACGAGGATGATGGTCCATTGCAGCCAGCCAGACTCGGGCATGATGGAGCGGGGTTCGACGATGACGATGATGCGCAGACGGAGGCAGTGATGGGCTCGCAGCCGGGTGGTGTCATGATCTGGCGCAACGAGACTGGCGAGGCGCAAGAGGCACAGTCAATGCAAAAAGTATGCAGCATGTAAGGCACCAGACAAGAGCAGACGACGTGGGCGTAGAACGTGGTGACGAAAGGTTGGGAAACCATGGAGGGAGGAGGAACCAGACCAGACCAAGACGCCTCAAATGCCCGATTGGGCCTCCACTGCAAAGCTTGCGTGTTTGTTCAATGTTGGCCGCAACACCAGCACGGGGCAGGCAGATGCAGATGCAGGAGGGTCGATGCACTGCAGACTGGACGAACAACGGCGCCAAAGGCTGCGTACAATGTAACTATCGTTGCAGCTGGCTGAACAGAGTCCGGGCATGGACGAACCAAGGTGCATGTGGTGGGCTGGTGAGTCGACATACATGTACATACATACTCCGTAGACTCAAGGCAAGCCGTGATACTAGATCTGACATGGACCACAGACCCCAGCCACCCCAGCCGAGCCGCCCGCTCGAGCACTCGAGGCCATGCTGCTCAAGATCAAATCCAGGCGTCAATCGTTGCCCCTGCATCCAGGCATGCAGCTGCAGAGTCTAATAAAGGAGCCCCGTGAATCCGCCACATGGCGTTGGGGACTTGACACATCCGGGCAACATTGAACAGTACGGAGTAGATGCCGGCGGGTCGCTTGGTGGTGTGTGCATACCAAAGACTCGAGTGCATCAGCAACAAAGTCCTGAACCATTGCTTTGACGCACAACAACCAACCGACAGGCACGCGTTCGTCATTGACGTGCGAGCATCTTGAAGGTCCAAACCGGAGACGGCATTGATGTTTCAATCTTCAATCAAATTGATGTTTTAGTCGATGGGGCCCCGGCAACAGCCGCAAGCCTGGCGCCATCAATGCTGAGTGGACTCAACTGTGCTGGCTCTATGCACATGTACTCCGTACTCCCTACAGAGCAGGTCGGTACCTAGGTACTGCCGCGAGTGGGCAACAATGACACACGGCCGAGGTACCGACGACCCGAGACATATGATCTACTCCTCCTCCCAGACAAGAGGGGGCGAGGAAGGTTCGTGGCGTGTTGCTTCTCCGTCCTCCTTACTGAGACCCAATCATCGTTCCACTGCCTCTATTACTACTCCGTACTGGCCACCCAATGAACCGTCCGGATGTCGCGTGGGAGGGCCAGTTGAGTGAGCTGTCAGTTGTCGCGCAATCAATCACTTGATACCAAGAGATCCAACCGCACCCAACTGCCAAAATATGCGAGTGCAGGCGCGTAGGTGAGTGGGCGGGCATGTGTTCAGCTATGTACATACTGACAACGTTGAATGTTGTATGTACATACTCCGTACAAGCACCAAGGATTGTATTCCCACTGGGTCGACTCGCTCTTTATAACCGTCCTATACCATGTACTTACAAGTCTCAAGAGACACGAGACCTTCCTAGAATAATGAAACCCTACTTTCATGTACCTCCTTAACGTTTGGCCTTGGGGCTGATATGTCTATAACCTCCTCCTTACTCTCTCAATTTTACCCTCTTTTGTGTTTGGCTTTTCCAGCTACAAAATAGAAAGAAGCAGACCCAGCTTTCGCAAAATACCTCGGTATACCACATAAATAATGCTGTGAATTCTATCAAGGCAGCTCGCTTAGAGACCTTGGGATATCTTCGGGTCGGTAGGAGCGACTATATTCAGAGTCTGACTGCAACACGCCATCTGGTGGACGAGTCTCCCGGTATCGATGCTGAGTTTGTAGATTGTTAGCCAGCGATACGATCCCGTGTGCTACGCCTTCTGATTCTTCATCGAACAGCCTTCGGTACCCCATATAAGATCCATTTCGAACCAACTCGGGCGTCGAACTGGGATTACTATGCAACTCCAACGGGTCCCCGGGGTTGGCAGGGGTGGCCGACGCCTCGAGATATGCGACACGTTGGTGCTCCGCTTGCTCGCTGCGTAGGCCGGTTTCCAGAATTTCTAAAATACGAGTCATCTGGTCCAAAGTTGCCGTTGATGCAAACGACAGGATCTCCAAGGGGCCGAGATCATTTGCCCTGGCCCCATTGCCCAGGAGACAACCAACCGCAGAGACGTGTCCCATAAACGCAGCATGTCTCAATGGCTGCCATCCTCCCGAGTCTATTTCCCTCGCGCTGGCACCGCGGTTTATGAGCTCTTGGATTATGGGCACGAAGCCTCCACTTGCGGCCCTACACACTGGGGAGTCGCTTCGAAGTCCGGGGCCAAGCGGGGCATTGAGCCTCGCGCCGCTGTCAAGAAGCTTCTGAACAATCATCATGCTGCCTTGGGAACATGCAGTAAGTAGCGGGCGCGTTCCTTGGCCGTCCTGGCAATCTACCGACGCTCCCCTCTCAATAAGTTTGCATACGGTGGCTTTTGACCCTGCCTTGGTAGCGAGGTGTAGAGGTGTTTCCCCTGTACTGGTTTTTGCGTTGAAATCAGCCCCAAAGTTTAACAGCAATGAGGCCTCGCTATATTCGACGTCTTTGCAGGCATAGTGAAGCGGCCGGTACTTCTGACTACACTCCGCCTCCATGTTGGCACCGGCTCTGAGCAGCTTCTCAATCACGCCAAAACTCCTCGTCATTGCAGCCAAGTGTAGTGCTGTTCTGTTATTCTCGTTCCGTGCCTCGGTCTCAGCCCTTTTCTGCTTAAGAAGGAGTTCTACGACTTCGTCATGGCCCTGGAAACTCGCCCAGTGGAGTGGTGTCATGTCGCCTTGGCTCTTTATATTGGTCAAGGCTTTATTCTGAATGAGTATCTCGGCGACAGACCTAAGTCCCAATTTGGATGCAATGCCTAAAGGAGTCATCTTGGCATCGTCTTGGGCCTCAATGTTGGCCTTTGCCTCGAGGAGTGTCCTGACAACATCGAGGCGGCCTGCAGCGCAAGCGCAATGTAGTGGCGATCTCATCTGGGAGTCCTTGGCGTCTTTGTTGGCACCGGACTGCAGGAGCAGTCTGACTACATCATTATCTCCGCTATCAGACACCATGTGTAGCGAGGTGCGTTTTTTTCTATCTCTCGCGTCCACCAGTGCCTGGCGCCGCACCAGTGTTTTAATCGCATTCATCTGGCCGTGGTCGCAAGCAACTCGAAGCGGAGTCTTATCCTCAGGACCACGAACATTGACATCTGCTTCTCTGTCAAGTAGGATATCGATTACCTGGCAGTGGCCATTCGCGGCGGCGAGATGCAATGGTTCGAGTTGACTCCTGTCCTTTGTTCCGAGATTGCAACCTTCGGCCAAAAGCAACTCAACCATGCCCTCGTGACCGCAATGCGCCGCTACAGCCAGCGGGGTCCTTCCCGTCTTAGGGTGTATTTGCTCAACATTTGCTCGTCGCCGGATGAGCGAAGTCATTTCGGCGACATCACCTCTCTGGGCGGCGACTATTGTCCTTGGCGGTGGTGTGTTGTTGTGTGATTGAAGATATATCTCGGTCGGTGCCAAATCGCCAGGGGCTTTGATCCTCTTCCGAGATATGGGTGATAATAGCTGCTCTCGAGAGATGCGCCCTGTCGACTTTGGCCTAGCAGTCCGGCTCAGCCGTCGGACAAGCCAAGATGTGTGCTGCCCGCCTGAGCCATCCGAGGTTCCAGTGGAAGCGGATCTGGGTCTTTTCGAGAAGATAGACAAAGTCTGTGACGTTTTCTCAGAGGGGATGGAGGAATCAGCATACTCCGGTCTTTGAAAAGGCAACGGCCTTTGCCATTCTTCAGCGGGATAGTTAAGCACTGGAAGGTTACTTATTGAAGGAATTTGGTCGGAAATTCCTTCATGGCTCGGAATTTCGATATTCTGGGCATCGTCCTGCGAGTGGGGATTGGGCTGCTCAGACGCAGTCTCTCTAACTGTTGACTGCTCTCTGATTGTGGTTATATCCTCTTGAACCCGTTGTAGCAGCTGCGTAGACTTGTGTTTCCTCAGCAGGTCGTTCTGTTCGGATAGGTTCTGGCTACAAAGAGTAAGCAAAATTGGCCCAAGCGAAGCGAATGCATAACCGCTGACCAGTAAGCAGCTGTAAGGAGAAGCTGAAGTGCAGAAATCTGGGACTAGAGACGAGCGTCGTGTTCTTTCAACGACGAGTTGGTGTCGAGAAAGAATTGCCGTAGCCGTGATCCGACCGAATCCCCAACGAGCGCGAGGATGTCTTGATCAAGGGCCTGCATAACGGCCTGGCAGCCGTCTATGGCTATCTTGAACCATTGGCTAAGCGATTCCCCTCTTGGATTTGATCTGAGACTGAACTCTGCCCATGTCTCAATTTCAGTAAGGGCCGCGCGGATGGTTGACAGTTTTTGTGCCAAAAGTTGCACCGGCCGACCACCCTCGGACCAGCGGGACCGGACCTGGGAAAGATTCGAAGTAATTCTGACTATGATCTTGATGATATCTGAGCATGCCGCGACGGCCCCAATGATGGTGAGAGGATCCATAATGCCAATCCGCTGCTTTACGCAAAGGAGGCAGGTGGTGGCAGATGCCTTGCAGACGGCAGAGCGTCCGACTTAAGAGAGTTACCTCTCATCGAGGGCGCGTCCAACACCGTCAGCCGCCAAATGTATAATATTGCAGAAATCGTCGTGTGCCGCATGTAGTGATTGGTCGGCATGAGATATTGTGCAACAAGTCTTTGCCCTGCGCCATGGTTAAACAGCCTATATTCTCTATTACGATGCGAACAATCTAGGCTGATACTGACCTGGTGGAGGCGGAGTCCTGCTTGCTAAAGTATATCCTAACCGCATGTTGATTCAGCTCGAGGCCAACGCCATGCGCGTGGCGGCAACTGCGGTGACGAAGTGCAATGTTTTGAGTAGCTTCTGTAAACTTAAACGCTGCGAGGCACCACGCACCCTAGGAGATGAGGTGGCAGAGTTTGTGTAAATAGGGGAGCGAGGCATCCTGAGGCCTCTTGACGGGAGGGTCAGGAGGATGAACAGCTTTCACGCCACGATGGATTAGGAAACTTGACATCTTCCAAACATGGCCGGCGACAGTGGCGTCCCACTTGTAACGCGGCAGGCATGTTGTTTTGCTACAGCGCTGCGATTTCGAGGGGCGTTCATAAATAGAAATATACATGTAAAGAGGTGGGTCCAGGGCGGCTCTTCTCGCGCTTGACGGCTGCCATCCAGCAGTTGAAGATGGGCGCCCTTGATTATGTGGCTTGGAAGTTGGGAGCATGAACTGGTGTTTGGCGTAGGCTACCGAGTGACCTTGCGTGCAAATTCAATTGCTAAAGAGATATGGAGTACCGACTCTATATCAAGCTAGCATCTAAAGACTGCTCTCATCAAAGTAGAAATTATCATGAACGCAACTAGCCCAAGTCCTATTGTCCGGCCAATTGCCTATGATGGTGATACATAGCAGCTTAGTCTATCGAATGACCCAACCCTGCATCTGGTAAAGAGTAAGAGTAACGGGGTTCCTATGAAAGGCGTTATGGGGAAGCTTCCTCGTGCAAACTGGATAGCTGAACTGAACTAGAACATTGAAGGCCTGTTGCACTGATGAAGCCACTAAATGAAGGTCTCACAGCCTGCCCTCAAGCTTCGACCATGTTTCTCTCAGAGCTTCCAGTTTTTGTGCAAGGAAATAATGCGTTAGTTTCCAAGCACATTTCTAGCCAAATAAGCAGCGTGCCCCTCAATGTCCAGCTCGTCGACCCGCAAGACGCATTGCACATACTCCAAGACCACTGTGCGTATTATACAGCCACTCACACTGTCTGACCGTCGCCCGCCTGCTCCTTGATATTTTTTCTCTCTCTCGTGTTGTTGCTACTGTTCGACCAAAACTCACGTGCCACCATAGACTGTCGTCCGCAATACAACCTGGGACCAGAGACCTATAGAGCCCAGGCTCATCAGCATCCCATCGGCATCTGCCATGACCGCCGCCTCATCGACAGAGTCACCCGCGACTCACCAGTTTCCGCTTCCCAAGATTCTCGAATACCCCGCCTCTACCCCTCCATGCCTCATCACGCAGGGAGCCGAGGGCCGTCTTTACAAAACTACATACCTCCGGCCCGATGTGCCCTGCGCACTGAAATACCGACCGCCCAAGCCCTGGCGGCACCCAATTCTCGATCAGCGTCTTACCAAGCATCGAATTTTGTCCGAGGCGCGGATCCTCGCCAAATGCCGACGGGATGGTGTTCGCGTCCCCGCCGTGTACGCCATCGACGAAAGTGCCGGATGGCTGATGCTGGAATGGATTCAGGGAACGCCGGTCCGTGTCAACATCAACGAGCGGCTGGGAAATAGAACAGTTGGCATCGAGAACGATGCGAGATTAAAAGACTTGATGCGGCGCATTGGTGTGGCCATTGGGAACATGCACAAGATTGGCATTGTCCATGGCGACTTGACCACCAGCAACATGATGCTGCGCCCACCGTCTGACAGCGCAGAGCAGGTTGATGCGCTCAGCGGAGAGATTGTCATTATTGATCTGGGGCTGGCAAGCGGATCAATCCATGAAGAAGACAGAGCCGTCGACTTGTATGTTCTTGAACGGGCTTTTGGCAGCACACACCCGCGCGCCGAGTGCCTGTTTGGCGAACTGCTCGATGCATACAGGGGCTGCTTCAAGCAAGCCGCGACAGTATTGAGAAAGCTCGAGGATGTCAGGATGCGAGGAAGGAAACGCAGCATGCTTGGCTGACGAGTTATGCCGCAAATTAAAATGAAGAAGAAGAAAAAAGCGACTTTTTATAAAATTCATGTTATAGTATTGGACGTTAACGCGCTGCCGTGGCGCAGAGTGTAATGCTCGCTATAGCAAAGTCACCACCCCCCAAGATATCCCAAGAAATAATAATGAAAAGGGAAAAAAAGGGTGCAGAAATCAAGTAGTCCTCCAACTGTGCATATTTGTAAACGCAAATAAGCCACCCAGATGTGCATGTATCAAAACGCTGTTCTGTTTGGCGGTCCGTCAAGTTGCCAAGATTCAAATCAAATCAAAGAATTGCCTCTCTATCCCTCAACAAGCTCTGCCCCGGCAAAATATCCCTTATTTTCAATCACACCTCGATCTCGAACAAAGGCCATGTATCGCACAACCCACTGTGGCACAATGTTCCCCTGCAGCCCGACTCCGCCATTCTCCGCATCAGCCAGCACGTTGGCTCCTCGAGGTCCCGAACCAAGGAGTTCCCGCAGAGTCCCCGGAGGGAGGATGTCGGTGCAATCGCGGTGAACATTGAGCTCGATGCCATGGACTGCGGCTAGCTGTTTCAGCGGCGGAGGCACATTGCAACAATCGTGCAGGTTGATCTGGTCGACGACGGGGGGAACCGAGGCACGCTTGACGAATGCGCTCAGTTTCTCGCTGCCAAACTCGGCTACTCCAAGCCGCTTGGCGAGTCCTTGGTTGTGCAGCTCTTCGAATATCCTCCACGTGGCTAGCTCTTCATCCAGATTGCCCTGGTTGGCATTCTTCTTGTCGGCCTCCCACTCGCACGTCCCTTCAAAGGATATGCCGGGGAACGACGCGACCAGCAAATCAATGGTTTGAATACCCAGTTCCTTGCTGACCAGAGCCAAGGCCTCGCCGATATACTGCACACGCTGTTCCACAGATGTTCCGGGCAGGAGGAACATCTTTACTGTGATTTCGTATTGGTTCGGTTCCTCTCGCAGCCCTGCGGCCTGCCAATTGATTCGCGGTATGAACAGGACTTTGCCGTCTCTCTCCGTCCAAAGTTCAACGGACGTCGGCGGCGTCGACGTGCCGCTGCGGATGCCATTGCCGTTTCCATTGGAGATGCCGTTGGGGATGCCGTTGGGAATGCCATCGGCAACACCGTTGCCAGTCCCGTTGCCATTCGGGTGCGCGCCCTCGGCATAGTCGCGCTTGGCTTCGGAGAAGCTGTCGCGGAGCGAATTCACGAGTTCAAGGTTGGATCTGTTGTTGCTGCCCGACTTCCGAATAATCGACGGCCCGGACGTCATGACATTGCTGTTGACACAAAAAAAGCAAAAAAAATTCGGTTAGCCCAGCCCATCATGGCTCAGATGCAGGGTCCTCCAATTCCGGCGGGCACATGGAGGGGAGTCGGGGGGACATTGAAGGAAGCACATACCCCGTCGACAGCACCAGCTTCGTCATGGCAGGCAGATTGTTGACTGCGTGCAAAAAGAGAACAAAGAAAAAAAGGTCGTTGCGTAATGGATATATTGACAGACGGACGTATCGAGAAACTTCAGTCAACGGATACAAGATTCAAGAAGAACAAGAGAAAGACAAAAATAAGAGAGCCGCGCCGGTAAAAGCGGAGTCAATATGCTAACCAAGGGAAAATTTAAGCTGGGATGTGTGTAGTTGTAATAATGGCGCCTGGCCCTTTGGCGAAGTAACCCCCCAAGAAAAACCCGCGGGCGTTTTTAGCTTTTGACGATGTCAAGGCATCAACGACTTTTTTCATCTTCTTTGCCCTTCCCCCGGTTCAAATACGTGCTGCCATGCTGCAACTGGCGCAGCCACAAAGGTAAGACCGCGTGAGAATCTGACGGTCATTCCGCTTGGATTAATAATGCGGGGTGCCTAGGCGGGGACTAGCAACTGATGACTTGTCGGCGGTCGCGTTTCAGTCCGTCATACTTTGTGCATTTCAGACAATGTCGCTTGTTGCGCTGCGGAAGATTTAATTCATGGCGCCAGGGCCCTGCACAGGGGCTCTTCACCCGATGGGCACCATCCGAGGGTGGACTTTTCTCGGGTTTGTGGCCGAGGGCCTGAAAAGCAAAAAACCACAGCGCATGACATACGCAATCCTCTGGGAGGCGTGATACGACTTGGGAAGGGTTACGGTGCAGAAATGAACGAGGTGATTGATCAATCTTGCTGCAAGACGTGACTGGCCGCTGTACACATGCAAGTTATATTCAAGACCAAGAACGGAGTACCTACTTAAGTACTCAAGTACTTAAACTTAGGTACTCTGTAAAGTAGTTGACCGAATTCAGCATGTCCCTTGCCGCTGCTGCATGTGCCATGTGCCGTCATAGAGACGCCGTGACGCCGCATTGCACATTTCTGGTCGTAATTGATTCAATGCCGCCAGCATGCCCTCTCCAGAAGAAAAAGAGACGTCTCACGGCACTGCGACGAAACTGTCATAACTAGATCTTATTTAGAACAATGAAATACTACTGCCAGCTACTATGCTATTCATATTTGGATCTAGTCGATCCCCGTTTTCCATTTCCCGTATCCTCTTCTTCGGCACGGAAAAACCTGGTCGACAGAGGTCACCCCCACCCACTCTCCTATTGCTCCTTAGATGCAGCAAGAGTTGGCTCGTCACCAACCAGCTTAGACTACCCGGCCAGCTAGATGAACCTCCACATCACAACCCACACCACAAACTCGACAGTCATACCCCTTCGTCGCTTTTTATCTTCGCTTCCTCTCCCTCCCA